ATAGCTGGAAGTAAGAGCCAGGCCACTAGCACACAAGTCTCTGCCAATCAGCACAGGCAACAGCACTGCTAAAAGGACATGAGTCTATATTCATCACCCTAAAAAACCCCAATGTGTTCATACAGGCACAGGCCACTAAGGTCCCAGGCCCCACTCTCACTCCTCATTCACTTTGTGAGCAAGAATTCACCAAGAATTTATCATCTTCCTGGCGCGGGGGATGTGGCTCAAGCGGTAGCGCATTCGCCTGGCATGCGTGCGACCCGGGTTTAATCCTCAGCACCACATACAAACAAAGATGTTGTGCCCGCCAAAAAACTAAAAAATAAATGTTAAAAAATTCTCTCTCTCTCTCTCTCTCTCTCTCTCTGTCTCTCACTCTCTCTTTAAAAAAAAAAAAAAAAAAAAAAAGAATTTATCATCTTCCAAGACAACAGAATAAGGGAGCTTCAAGGCCACAATATGAGATTAGGGTTAGGACATTCTCCCACCTTAAACGGTCCACAAATGGGCTGATGAAGAAGTCAACAGGGTTCACTCCAGTGTGGGAATGGGAACAGCCCCTTTCCACATGCCAGAGGATGTACCCACCCACCCAGAGGCACTGCTAGGAATGAATCCTGAGGCCCAAAAATGAAATAAGACACCTCTGCATAGCAGCTACATCTATGCCACAGCCAACTGTCCTTCCATCTCCACAACAGGTAAACTCCCACCTAAGTATCCACCTCACCAAACTCTTTCCTAAATTATTCTGGGAATCCCCAGGGGAAAGATGGGGAGACTTGATGGGACAGTCTGCCTTTCTATACACCACATAATCCCTCCTCATCCACACCGACTATGTACTCAGAGGTGAATCACCCTCAAACAGGGAACAAGCACCTACTATGTGCTAACGTTCCACAAGGAACACCAGGGCCCTTTGGCTTAAAGGTACCTGGCAGACCCATCACTTCTCACCTTGGAGGAGGTCTTGGAGGTCAGAAAGACCTCCACTTCCCCTCCCTCTAACCACTGACATTATGAAGAAAAACATGGGAAGTTGGTGAGGAGGGGTTTCATCAAGCCTGGCAGCCTTCCCCAAAGGTCCCAGGGAGCTTCTTAAGTTTAATCTCCCCAACTCATCCAGCCACACCCCTCCCAGGACACTCCCTTCTTATGGGACCTAGAACCAGCTCTTGGCCATCCTTTCCTGATCAGATTCACTGGGGTCGCCACCAGCTTTTCTTGCTTTGCCACTCCTGGCTAACACTAGGCTTAAGGCCCTCCTCACAGGCCTCCCCTAGACCAGGTCTCTAACCCTTAGGGCAAGGCCCTTCCTAGCAGGAAGCAAATTCTGGTGATATCAGCTGGACTCAAACTGGACAGGTTTGTTTGGAAGCCCCTAATGAGGAACCAGAACCTATTCTTGGGAGGGGACTGTTTTCTCTATTCTTTCTTAGCAGGATCCCAGCTCTCTCCCTACACATTTTATGAGCCCTCATAGGCTCTGAAGTGAAAGGCATTTACCCTCCAGTCCTAGAACAAGTTACTTAACCTCCCGGTATCACTTACTGTCATAAAAGGATTCATGCTGAATCAGGAGGATTACAGAAAAAACGCACAAGGGCCCCTATCACCTAGCCTAAAACCTACCAGTGGTAGGCAAGTCTGTGAGCACCAGGAGGCAGAGACCAGCACAATTTAGTCTAGCCATGGGGGCCAAACACCAAATTTGTGCTCAGAAAATGTGGCTGAATGAATAAAATGGTTGCAAAAGAGCCTCACAAGTGTCTAATAGACAGCAGGTACCCTTGGATTGGCTTCTTGACACATTTGTGGATCCACATTTTCAGGCTTTCCTGACCATGTCCCGGCCCATTCTTCATGCTGCCTTTTGAAAACCTAGAGCAATATTCCCTGATTAAAACTGCTCATCTCCAAGCCAACAGCAAACCAGCATGGCATCCAAGGCTCTGCTCTAGCCCACGACGAGCTCCTCCCACCATGCTTCCATGCCACACAGCCCTTATTACCTCATCTTATAATTGTCTGTCTGTCTGTCTTCCCCATGCTGAACTCTGGAGGACAGTAATACATGGATGCAATCTCAAATTGTTCCTATTTTAAATATAGGGCTGCTTAAGTATGGAGAATTAATCACTGTTCAAGGTTGCACTGAAAGTAAAGGTACCTAGAGTAAATGGCAGAGTAAGTCTGGCACTCCATACTTCTTGACAAAGTCCAGTTCCCCTCTCACTAGCCGTGCTCAGCCAGGCTCCAAGGAGCCAGAAGGGAAGGAACCTCATTACTTCCAGAAAGTGAGAGCTGATTCCCATACCAGCAGGAGGGGTCCAGGAGGAAGAGCTCCCATCCTCCTAGTGATTGGGTTCTGAGGGCCGTGGCTCTCAGCACCAGTGGGCAAGATCAGGTATGGGGTGGGGCTGATAGCTGCTCAAGGTCAACAGGCCAAGAAAAAAAGGCAGAGCACAGGTCCCCTGGGTAAACTGAACTTTATTCCTTTCTCACTCTTCTAACTCTCCAGAACTCCCAGCCAGCCCTTCTCCAGAGTCTAGCTGCTGATTAAAAGGCGCTCCCCCCATCCCCTCCCCCTTCCACCCCTCAGATCTAACCTCAACAGACAATAAGAACTCCCAGGAAGGCAGCAGACCCTGCAACTCAATAATGCAAAACCCTGTTGCTCCAAGTCCACAACAGCTGACTTCAAGTGGATCGGAGGCTGTGCTTATTAACAAAATGAGAAATCTGATCTACGGAAAGAAAACACTATGTAAGGATTAATCCAAGACTGAAGCTTATGGAGAAGGCTGGGCTGTTGGCCAAGGCTAGGGAGCGAGGACAGGATCATATCAACCTGTCCCCAGAGCAGGTACCACACAGCTTGACAGGGCGCATCACCTCTGCCCCACCTGCACCTCCTATTCTCCTTAAATCAATTGCAGCAATCATTTCAGTTTTGCTTTAATTAAAAGCCAGGCTCCCTCAGGCTGCTTCTTCCTCTATGCAGAGCCAGCAACCAGAGGGAAATTTTTCTTTTCAGGAATCGCTTGTAAAAACTCAGTGACTAATCTACAAGTCCCAACAACTGGCAGGAAGGCACTGCAGGGAGAAATTCTGGGCACGCAGCAGCACTCAGTCACACTGCCAGAGAAGCTGAGCAACAGGGACTCAAAAACATCCCAAAACTGGCCTATAGGAAACCAGAAACCATAGGAAAGCCAGTCAACCTGGAAGTTCTGACCTCCCCTGTGGCACTCAGGCAGGTGGAGATCCTCCTCCCAGCCTTCTTCTAAGTCTGCCTTGTGGAGCCCAGAGATTTTCAAAATAACCTCAACTACACAGGACAGAAGGTTCATTTACAAGCAGGGCTGCTTATTCTATGGAATCACCCTATACTAAAGGACTCAGTTCAGCACCCCAATATCAGCCTCCCACCTCCTCCCTCGTGTTAAGAGCCCACTAAACGAGCAATCTTACCACATAGCTTTGTCTCTAGAGGCCAGCCTGAGGCTGGCCCATCTGCTTTTTCAGACCACTTCAGCAACCCTGCTCCACTGAGCATACAGTCTTTCCTTGAGCCAGGACTACAAACAGGCCACATGGCCTGTGCTCCTGAAAAATGTCTTCTTGAGGCCCAGGGAGTCCAAACATTGGCAGATGGGAATGGAAGTGAAGAAGCAAAGCCAGGAGCCAGGGAGCAATAATGCTAGATCCAGAAAGGTCTTGGGTTTGGGTGACCCAACACCATCGCTCCATCTGTGGTCCCTGGTGGGTAGTTTCAAGTGCAGCCTAGAAGCTCCTGAGGCCCCTCCACTACTTGCCAGCTCTCCCCCTCTCCCAGGGGCAAGAGGCACAGCAATCCTCACATCAGTCAACAATCCACCACCACAGGATTCCTATGGGCAAGGCTCTGCACCTCCCCTCCCCCCATATATGTCAGAGGGGTGGCCTCCCTGGGTTACCCCTTCTGCTAGTGGGAGGTAAGGGGCTGGGAACATAGCTTTCCAGATGTGTTTGGCAATTCTTACTAGAAAAGACACTGGGGATAGAAGATAGAGGGTAGGAGAAGACAAGGATAAATAACTTCACCACAGCTCAGCCAGTCAGGTTCAGCACTGGGCTCCAGTCCCCAGTCAGTTCCATGCTGTTCTGGGTGGGGCCGCTGGGAGCATTATCTGGCCTCATTCCCTCCTCTCCTTAAGTCACTGCCCCCCAGGGAGAGGCATTTTCTCCCAAACACACACACCCAGGCCTGTGTGAATATGAACCACCTTGGAAGATAAACACAGAGTGACAAGCTGAGGCCCCTTAGCCCCCTCCCTTAGCCAGCCGGTCCCCTCCCTTGCCAGCCGACCCCCTCCCCCAAGCCCATCTCTCTTCCTGCCAAGCGGCTGCCTACAGAAGAGGTCTGGGGGCAGGGCAGCAAGCCCACCAGCCTCAGAGCCTGGCCCTCTGGGAACAGCCCCTCCAGACCCGACCTTGCCCCGGTCCGGGCCGGTCTTACTGAGGGGAAGGGGACAAGAGAAAAAGGAGTGCAGACGGTACTGGACAGCAGTTCTGGAAATTGCAAAATCTTTTAGCTAAGGGCGGCCGTAAGGCAAAGGGCCGTTTGCATAATGGGAACCCGCGCGCCTGTCAGGCAACGTAGCTCGCCCGACGCTGTTCGGATTAGATTGCTAATGAAAAGGCACAAAGAATCGGCGCCCGCTCGCCCGTCGACCCCCGCTCCACAGACCCGCGCCCCAGGCCTGGCGCGGCCCTGGGGGCTTTGTGCCTGGGGACCCCGCCGCCTGCGCCCCGCCAGGCAACCGGGCCACAAAGCCCAGGCTGGCTGAGGGTCTCGCGTGCTCCCGCATCCAGGCCAGGTTGATGCGCGCGCCCTCCCACGCCCGCAGCTCCACGTCGCTCGGGCTCGCGCGCGTCCACGCCCCTCTCCCTGTGGGCGCACCCGGTCCTCGGCCCCCGCCGGCGCCCCCACACTCGCCGCTGTCCCTCACCTCGTGTGCGTCGGCGGCTGCGCTCCGCCCATCAGCCGGCCGGCTCTGTCTGCGGCCCCTCGTCCTGGGCGCCCGGCCCGCGCCGCCCGCGCCCGCCCCGTCCGCCCGCCGCCGGCCCGGCTCGGCTCCCCGCCCAGCGCGCCCCGAGCGCCGCTCACAGCCGCCCGCTCGGCGCCATCTTGGAAGCTTGTGACGTCGGTGCCGCCCGCTCACCCCTGACCCACATCTGAATGGGCGAGCGACGGGGCGGGATCAGGGTGAAGGGACGGGCCCGTTTCGGGGGCGGGGCATGCGGGGCGGGGCGGGGCCAGCAAGCGGTCGGAGGGCTGGGCGGGCAGGGTGGCCGCCGCGCCGCGCTTTGGGGGAGGGGCACGCAGGAGGACCCTAGGTCTGAGACCCGCGACTCCCAACCAGCTCCCGACCCAGGGGCCAGAGCTTGACCTAGGCCTCGCGCCCGAAACACTCAGACCTCACACTCCCTGTAGACAGGGACAGGCTCATGTCTAGCCCCCGAACTCAAGGCTGACCCCCTCTGAGCCTGACCCTGACCCTGACCCCTCAGAGCCCCCAGTCAGGGACCCCTAGCGGTCTATGCCCAATTTCCCCGACCCCTTCGTGCCCCGTGCTTCCCGACCCCCGCTGTGGCCGCGCTCTCAAGACTCAGCCCCCAGGGACTGCAGGCTCCTTGGTCTGGGCTCCAGGGGAGGCCAGGGTCGTTCCGGTCCCGGGAAGAATGGGAGTCCTGGAACACCTGATCCCAGCGCCAATAGGGAACCCCGCTCCTGCACCCCGGCGAGCAGGCCCTACCTGCTCAGAGGGCGCGGAGGTCCTGAGCACGCTTGCTTCAGCCAGCCCCTTCCGGTGACCGCAGCCCCTCGCAGGCCCCAGGGGTTAAACGGCGCGCCCAAGCTGGCTCTCTTGGACCCAAGGCTCATGGGCGTCATTTAAATGGACTTTCAAGGGCTGGGGCTAGCCATGAGCCATGACCACTTCTCTAGGGAGTTACTTAATGGACCTCTCTCTACTCTGAATACCAAACAAAGGAACACACCACTGTTAAGGTCGGAGAAGTCTGAAAGGAGCCGGGAATCTGCTTTATAGGGAAATTGTGACCTAGCTCCAGTCAAGACTGAAACTCAATTCTGTAACCCTTCGCAGAGGCTAATTATGCGACCATTCTTTGCTAATCAGTGTATAAGTTCAATGCAATCCTAACATGACGTTTCTTAGACTAAGCAAAATTGTAAGTTCACCTGGAAGAATAAATAGCCAAATACAGCTTTCATCTCCCCGACCTCTTGGGAACAAAGAAAAAGAAATGAGGGTAGACTTGCCCTATCAGAAATTAAAACAAATTATAAGGACTGAGGATGTTCAGTGGTAGAGCGCTTGCCTAGCATGTTGGAGGCCCTGGGTAAAATCCCCAGTACAGGGGTGGGGGAGATGTAGAGCTACTGCAGTCCATTCAGTGCAGTACCTGCCAAGAAGAAATAGAATAGAATACCTAGAAATGTCCTAGAAATGGTAAGAACACAGTAGATGAAAAAGGAAATATCAAATGTCTGTGTAAAAGGAGATATCAAATGTTCCTGAAGAAGAAAAGGAATATTCCATAAATAGAACTCAGCTGAGGATTCACTGTGTGAAATAACTGGGGGGCGGGGGGGGGGAGGAGCCAACCGATCTTCTAAGCAAAGAAATACAAATTAAATCTACAAGAGGCTGTTTTCTTTAAAAACAAAAATTTGTTTCAAATGATAGCCACCAAGCAAGCAGGGGTCTGTTGGGTAATCACTCACTTATATAGTTGGAAGCATATAAATTGCCTCAAAGTTTCTGGATGCGAATTTAGCAGTATGAGCCAAAAACTTTTTTTTTTAATTGTAGATGGACACAATATGTTTATTTTTATTTATTCCTTTTTATTGATGCTCAGGATCAAACTCAGTGCCTCACATGTGCTAGGCAAGCACTCTACCAGTGGGGTACAACCCCAGCAAGCCCCCCCCAAAATTTTTTAAATGATTATTCTTCCTTGGGCAAGTATTTCTGTCTTTCGTTCTGGAGAAAATAATCACATTTTCAGATCCTGTGCTTGGTTGTATAATCAGATGGTAAGCTTGGACTCCAGTGGCTAATGGCATACCTGAGACTTAATGGACACTCAGTAGTCACTCTTTCATTTGCATTTGGAAATTAATACACAATAATATTATTTCAAGTGTTATTTATAATAATGAAGAACTCATACACAAAGTAACGCTGACAATAGGAAATTGGTTAAATGAGCCACATAACAGAATGTTAAGTAGCCATCACAAATGGTGTTCTTTTACTTAAATTTTAAGTGGAGGTTTCTCATTATGTTACCCAAACTGACCTGGAAGTCCTGGGTTCATTGGATTTTCGTGACTCAGCCTCCTGAATGGCTGGGACAACAGTTGTGCTGCCATGCCTGCCTTTCAATTTTTCTTTTTTTGGACTGGAAATTGAACCCTGGGGCACTTTACCACTAAGCTACATCCCCAATCCTTTTATTTTTTTTTATTTTGAGACAGGGTCATGATAAGTCACTAACGTCTAGCTAATTGAGGCTGGCCTGAAATTTGCAATCCTCCCACCTCAGCCTCCCAAGTATCTAGGATTACAGGTGTGCACTGCTGTACCTGGATAAAAAGAAAAAAATATATTTTTTTAAAAAAAATAGTTCTTGGAGCCAGGTATGCTGGCACACACCTGTTATCCCAGCAACTGGGAGGCTGAGTCAGGAGGATCTTGAGTTCAAAGCCAGCCTCAGCAATGGTGAACTGCTTAGTGATTCAGTGAGACCCTGTCTCTAAATAAAATACAAAATAGGACTAGGGATGTGGCTTAGTGGTTGAGTGTCCCTGATTTCAATTCCCAATACCAAAAAAAAAAAATAGTTCTTGATTTTATATATATATATATATATATATATATATATATATATATATACTCTTACCTTTTACTACTAGAGTAGTTTACTACAAGTAGAATCTATGGGTTAAATGATATGGGAATTTTCAATATTTTTAAATAATTTTTTAAAACATTTTTTAGTTGTAGCTGGACACAATACCTTTATTTTATTTTCATGTGGTGCTGAGGATCAAACCCAGTGCTTCACGTATGCTAGACGAGTGCTCTGCCTCGTCTAGCATAACCCCAGCCCTCAGTCATTATTGTTGTGTGCTTGTGTTGCTGGGGACTGAACCCATGGGTTTGCATATGTTGGGCAAATGCTCTAATGCTGAGCTACATGCCAAGCCCTGGAATTTTCTATTTTAATGGACCCTACCAGATATAAATTCCCAAAATGATGTATCAATTCAATTCTTATAGGTAAACTTTTTTCCTCCTCCTTTAGCTTTTCTGGACATTCTGAGATATCCATGCTTAGTACATATTCTTTTTTTCTTTTCTTTTTTTTTTTTTTTTTTTTTTGGTACTGGGGATTGAACCCCAGGGACACTTTACCACTGAGTAGCATCACCAGCCCTTTTTTTTTTTTCTTTCTTTCTTTCTTTCTTTTTTTTTTTTTTTTTTGAGACAAGACCTGTCTAAATTGCTAAGGCTGGCCTCAGCTTCCAAGCCGCTGGGATTACAGGTATGCACCATGGCACCCAACTTACATATTCCTTTTAAATCAGAAAAAAAGAACAACATGTAAATTAATATAGCCATATGGAAAAGAGTATATAAATTCCTGAAAATACATAAATAAAGCTAGTGTGTAGTGATGCACACCTGTAGTCCCAGGTACTCAGGAGACTGAAAAAGGAGGATCACAAATTGCAGCCCAGCCTGGACAATGAAGCAGGACCCTGTCTCAAAATTAAAAATAGGGGCTGGGGTTGTGCGCTCAGCAGTAGCGCACTTGCCTAGCATGTGTGTGAGACACTGGGTTTGATTCTCAGCACCGCATATAAACAAATAAAATAAAAGTCTATCAATAAAAAAAAAAGTCTATCAATAACTAAAAAATTGGGGCTGGGGATGTGGCTCAAGCAGTAGCGCGCTCGCCTGGCATGCGTGCGGCCCGGGTTCGATCCTCAGCACCACATACAAACAAAGATGTTGTGTCCGCCGAAAACTAAAAAATAAAATAAATATTAAAAAATTCTCTCTCTCTCTCTGTCTTTAAAAAACAAATAAAATAACTAAAAATTTTTTTTTAAATTAAAAATAAAGGACTAGGGGCTGGGGTTGAGTGCTCACCTGACACACATGAAGCACTGGGTTTGAACCTCAACACCACATAAAAATGAAGTGGGGATATTTTGTCCACCTACAACTAAAAAATAAATAAATAAAAAAGGATTAGGGATGTAGCTCTTTGGTAGAGCACTTGCCTTGCATTTGCAAGGCCCTAGGTTCAATCTCTAGTAACACACACACACACACACACACACACATTTTCTCACAAAGAAAGTCCCATGCCTCTCAAGTTTCCACACCCCAAGCTCAAGCCACTTTGGAAAACTCTGTTCCTTAAATATGCAATAAAGTTTTCTCTCAACTCTGGCATTCGAACCCAGCTCCTCCTACCTGGGTCATCCTCCTCCCCACCTCTACCTGGTAAACTCCTTCTTAGCTCAGATACCACATCCTACGGGAAATCTACTTTGATCCCAAGCTACTCATCCTCAGACTGTCCTGATATTGAGTCTACTCTTATAGACTCAGTACCTGACTCATACCTGGCACCAAGTAGGTGATCAATTAAAAGTCAAATGAGCCAGGCTTGTGCCTATAATCCCACTGGCTTGAGAGGCTGAGGCAGGAGGATCATGAGTTCAAAGCCAGCCTCAGCAAAAAACTTAGCAAGGCCCTAAGCAACTCAGCAAGCCCCTGTCTCAAAATAAAATATAAAGGGCTGGGGATGTGACTCAGTGGTAAAGCGCCCCTGGGTTCAATCCCTGCTACCAGGAAAAAAAATGTCAAATGAAGGACTGAAATTAATAAATTTCCCCCAACGCCCCCTTTCCCCTCCTGTCTCAATACACCTCACCTCCTGTTCCTAAAGCCATTTATTTATTTATTTATTTTTAAATACTTATTTATTTAG